GGGAAACCAAGGAAAATTGCAGGACCATGTTTTTGTATATAAAATAGTTATTTTTAATTATAATTATACATATATATAATATATATACTCCATGTTGTGTGTGTACTTTAATTTCTTCCCCATTTTTCCCAGGTCTACCTGTCTCTTGCTAAACTACAATCCCTCAATTGCTCCATAGTCCTTCCTTGCCAGCACTAGGCCCCCAAAGCTGTATTTGGAGGTCTACTCAACGTTGCTGCCAATTTGTAACTTCAAACACCACAGAGGAGGAAAAAATTAAATCCATGCAGAGTGCAGTATTTCATTGAACTGAAACTTGATGTTAATTCAATTGAACCGTAGACCAAATTTGTTCCTCCTGCTGGCACCGCTGCCTTCCCTCTCCACTCGCTTCGCGTGCCAGCTTCAAAGCAAAGCTGGCTTCCACCAGGAAAAGTTGCCCGTTCTTGAAGCCAATCCTTTTTCCTCCTCCTTACCCAGTGCTCTCCAAAGGAGACAGAAAATTAGGGTGAAACAAATGTAGGGCCAGTTCCACTCGTGATTGTCCCCAACGGTGGAGACGCCAAGGAAGATGAAGATGAGGGTGTCGCTCACACTGCTCCACATCTTCATGAAGTATTTAATGGTGGTGTGGGACTTGAGAGAGATGTTGGCTTCCACGTAGCGCTTCATGCCCAAGGCACAAGAAATGATTCTTGAGGAGGGAAAGAGAAGCAATTTACTACAGTCCTTTTCCAATTGGTGCATAAGCATCTCATTGGAACAGGATGGGGAAATGACAAGTTGAACCAAATGAAAATTCTTAACTTACGAAGATAGTTCCTTCTCAGCTTGCAATCATGCAAAGAGACAAAACAAGGATTGTAATTGGCAAGTCTTGGACAGGCTCCCATTTTTATTTTCGACATATAGGTGTCAAAATCTGGGAAGATGCCAGCAATCTCAGTCAGTTCACAGAACCCTTAAGTTAGTTTGAGGTCATAGAGTGCAATCTCCTGCAAGGAGGAAAATGTATACATACACACACACACACACACAAGGAGGTCCAATAAAATAAAACTCATCACCTCTCTAGATAGATGATGGTTCTACCTCTTCTACAGCTAGAAAGCTTCTTCTGACGTTCAGTTAGAACCGGCCTTCCTGTAACTTTAATCTATTATTGTGTCCCCTATGCTACATTCTAGATTAGTGCTTCTCCACTTTAACAACTTTAAGCGGTGTGGACCCCAACTCCCAGAATTCCCCAGCCAGCAGTAGACAGAATTTAAAGCATGCTGCCTAAGGAATCCTGGGAGTTGAAGTCCAATCAGTTTAAAGTGGTCAAGATTGAAAAACACTGCTCTAGAACAGGGGATCTTCAAACTTGGCCCTTTTATGACTTGTGGACTTCAACTCCCAGAATTCCTCAGCCAGCGTGCCTGGCTGAGGAATTCTGGCAGTTGAAGTCCACAAGTCATAAAAGGGCCAAGTTTGAAGACCCCTGCTCTAGAATAATAAAGAATAGGATTTAGCCTTCTTCTCCTGGCATCATTACAAGTCCTTGGTGAGGACTATTCTAGCCTGCCATTTATTCTTTTTTTCCAATATAGATTTTATATTTAACTATTCACAGATGCCTTTTGACAAATAAGGTCATCAGGGGCTGTTAGGAAGACCAGCAAAAGGAATGCAGTGGAAATTCTAAAGCAGTCTGAGAAGGAACTCTTTGAGAAAAAAAAACCTCAGGACTGTGAGAACTTATTTTCAGTTTCCAGTACTTCAGCTGTGTTTTGAACTGTCTCACTCCCTTAAATTCTAGGGATATTTTGATGAGTTGGTCTTTGGAGGAAATGAAGACCAATTCATCAAAATATCCCTAGAATTTAAGGGAGTGAAAGAGTTCAAAACACAGCTGAAGCACTGGAAACTGAAAGTAAGTTCTCACAGTCCTGGGTTCTGTGTTTCTAGTTTTCAACAAAAATCTGATGAGAACTGCACTTTATGCACAGTAGTGCTTATCTCTGCCTAAATAAATAAGAGTTTTTGTCCCTATTTTTTTCCCCAAAATATTTTGATGCTCAGACCTTAATGGCTAGCTAGAGCAATGGTGCTGAAACTTTCAATCTAAGGTTCATTCTGGTCAATACTTAGCCTCGGAAGCCATCAAGCTTCCATTTTACTTACGCCACAATGCCGGAGAGATGGAACATTTCTGCAGTGAGATAGGATAAGTAGCTGTAGAGGAAGACGAAAAGAGGTTCAATCACCAAGATATTTTTGGTAAAGCGAGTGGTGAAGGCCGCAGTCACAGCGTAGAGAAGGCCCACCAGGAGCCCCCCAACGCCCACCACAAAAAACTTCCCAATGCCAACAAACACATCGGCAGTTCTGATCGTTGGCATTTCACAAAAGGACCGGAACAGCCTGTAAAGCACCTAGAAGAAAACAGAAAATATGGGGGGGGGGGGGGGGTTTCCCCTAAGAAAAACAAAATGCCAGAATATATTTTCCAGATTTCTCCACCTTGGAGAAAAAGGCTCCTGTTTCTAGACCTTGTTTTTAGGATGTCTGAAAAGAGTTTTTATAGTTTTGTAAGGTTTTCCACTTAGCCTCAAAATTGCCCCAGCGTTACTCAGGAATTTAAAAGAGCCAAAGCAACTCCCGAGCCGAGGTATCAGCAAGCAAACAACTTTTATTTTGATCAAAATAGAGTTGGGTGACCCCATCTCTCTTCGTGGCTGGTAGAGAGATGAAGGCAACAACCAGGAAAGATGTCTTCCACCTTTTATACCTTTCCAGAACAAAAAGATCAGGTCTTGGTACCAGGCATAAGATAGCCCAAAAAAACAATTCCAAGATGATGACTCATACACAGCAACCCAGGCTCCATCTGTAACTCCTTTTTCCTCTCCCCTTACCTTTCTCTTTTCATGTAAGCAATCACCTGTACCTAAAGCATGAAACATTTGCTTTTATATAACTAATTTCCCAATATAATACCTACAAAGCTTCTTGCACATAAACAAAGATAGATAGATAGATAGATAGATAGATAGATAGATAGATAGATAGATAGATAGATAGATAGATATAGATATAATGATTACAAAATATCACTAATATCAATATTACTAATATCAAGCTTAAGCATAATAAAATCCCTTCAGTTTAGTTTAGTTTAGTTTAGTTGTTTTTTTCTAGCACATTTTTTTGCATACAATTTATTGTTGCAAAGTGGTAGAAGTATGTTTGCTGTACCTTTTATTATATATTTCTAAATCTTTATGTAGGTCCACACCTTTCAACCAAAGAAAGCCCTATGAAAAGGAATCCTGGAATCTAATGGAAGTATGAGAAGCCATGGAGATAGTAAATCATTGAAGAAGCATCCGCTCAAGCTCTCTTTCACAGACATATGCACCCCACAGTTCACCTGTAACTAAAATACATGGGACAAACTGCACCCCAGCTTTTAAGAACCCTGAAATGGTTTTGAAAGCTGAAAGACCACAGAGCTGAAATATGATTCCTGATAGGTCTTTTCAAGGCTGGCTGTACCATCAAGCATGAAGAGGAAGTAACTTTAGGTGGCATCTGCTGGTGTTCTGGATCGTGTAACGACTAGAGCATGTAGGTCTGTATGTTAGAATATTTGGCATTTATTGGGTTAAACGCTATCTCCTTAAGAGATGGCTTGTGGGTAATGTAGTTTAGCTAGTCAGCTATCTCATGTCATCAGGTATGTGGGAGGAGTTACTGAGCTCATCACAGGATACCCTGGCCATGGGGCCAGTTTGGAATGCCTTTGTCTGAGATAGCATGGGGCTACCGCAGGACTCAGATGGCCCCATTCCACGTTAGAAGTTGGTATGGAGGAAGTATTAATTTCTTACTGTTCTGATCCAGAGTTAAGTTGCTTTGTAAATCCAGATCAGACAGATAAACTCAATAAGAATGATTCCCAAACAGATAATTTATTCAGAGAGAAATACTTGCATTTATTGTGGATTCTTCTGGATATCACAATCTGTTCATTCTTATAGGTAAGAAATTAATACTTCCTCCATACCAACTTCTAACATGGAATGGGGCCATTTGAGTCCTGCGGTAGCCCCATGCTATCTCAGACAAAGGCATTCCAAACTGGCCCATGGCCAGGATATCCTGTGATGAGCTCAGTAACTCCTCGCACATACCTGATAACATGAGATAGCTGACTAGCTAAATTACATTACCCACAAGCCATCTCTTAAAGAGATAGTGTTTAACCCAATAAATGCCAAACATTCTAACATACAGACGTACATGCTCTAGTCAGGATTACACGATCCAGAACAGCTGGCATTACGGCAGCATCAAGTTTAAAAGACTGTCCTAACTGTGATGAGATAGAGGGAATCTCCAAATATGGACTGAATCCAGGGTGCAGAAGACAAATTTTCTCTATCAGATCCAGTGGGAAAACAATATCTGGGCTTGGCCAAGATGCATTTACTTTTATTCAAGTAGATCACTTTCAGTAGCTTCATCCCTGCACAGTTGGGGGGGGGGGAAGAGACCAGTCAAATAAATATCAATTTCTAAATAAATATCCATGTCTCTTCATGTAAAGCAGGGTTTCTCAACTTGAGGAACTTCAAGACATGTGGACTTCAACTCCCAGACTTCCCCAGCCAGCATAGAAAGGGTTGATTTAAGAAAAAGGACTGATCAAGTCCTTGGAATAAGTACTTTGGTATGCATTGAACCGTAATAGTTCGATACTTACAACACTCACAGCATCGTTGAGGAGAGACTCCCCGAATACCAAAATGTGAAGCTTTTCATTGACATGGATCTCCTCAAAGACTGAGAGAACCGCAACTGGGTCAACAGCCGCGATCAAGCTACTGAATAAGAGATTATGAAGCAAGGAGATGTCCCCCAGCTGGAAGGCATTGGCTTGACATATCACATAGAGGGAAAATCCGATGCCAAAGACGTTCCAGATTGTTCCCACCACAGCATACAAGAGGATGGTTCCAATGTTCTCAAAAAATGGCCGACTTGGCATGAAATAGCCTGCATCCAGGACAATGGGGGGCAGGAGGTAGAAGAAGAAGACATCACTGTCCATAACTGGAGGTGACTTGTCATTCAAGCCAAAGATAATGCCTCCCATGATGAGGCCAACAACGATCAATAGGCAGCTTTCAGGGACAACTGATGGTAGTTTGTCAAACAGATGGAAACCTGGCGAAGACAAGACAAAAGTATTGAGAAAATCCAAAACTCCAACATAATTTAGCATTGTTTGATGGTCACTTGACCCTGCTGCATCTCAACTGTAGTGTGAGGTAAAGGCTAGCAAGTTCTAAATTCAAATTTTCCTTGAGTTATGGGTAAATTTATTCATAGGACCTGGCTGGAGAAAGCTGGTTTTGAACACAGTGGTCATTCAAAAGCCTTGGGGCTCTTTTCTAAGAAAAACCAAATTCCTTAGGTCAGTCTTAAAATTTTGGAATTGATTGAGTGAGAAACAATTTGGAAGCTTAGAAATCAAGGTTGTGTAATTCTGTGCAATTCTGTATATTTGCCTCATCTTACGCAAATCAGCTTAACAGGATTTCTAGAAAAGATTTTTTATGCAACAGACTGATTTTGTTTCTAGCCAGCTTTCTAGCCAGCTGTCACAAACGTTCCTAACTAAAAAAAAAATGTAATACACAACCCATGAATAGAGAACAATAATATTTATTTTACACCACCTGTATCATATTAGTATAGAATCTTGATGTAAGATGAAGTTCCTGGATTTGCAGCAGTTGTAAAACAGCATAACAGATCCGTGCAAATCATTGTACACAAATAACTCAATTCAAAGATATATACTTACATGCTTTCCTATAAATGTGCATAAACGTTTGTCAAATATGGGGCTCTTTGTGTACATTGACTGCAGAAGCTTACTATGTGAGAATACTTTTCCTGGATCACTACTGGATATTCCAGAAGAAGGCAGTATCAATGAAAATTTCTCACAAATGTTACATCAGCTGTAAATTTCAGTCTCACAAATTTCACAAACTGTACGTCAACTCTTTAAGATACACCAATATTGTTCTTTTAGTCTAAAACAATAATTTTATCCGCATATTAATACACACCGTGAATAATACCGTGAAAAATCCAATAAATAAATAAATAAATAAATAAATAAATAAATAAATAAATAAATAAATAAATAAATAAAATACCTAAATAAATACAGGTGGTTCTCAACTTACAACCACAATTGAACTTAAAGTTTCCGTTGCTAAGCAAGGCAGTTGTTAAATGAGTTTTGTCCCATTTTACGACCTTCTTGCCATAGTTGTTACTGTCCTGTACTGTAGTTGGAGTGTCCCCTCCCAACCTCTGTTTAGAAATCACTCTTTGAGTTTCAGATTACTTTCCCACCACTCTGTCCCAAAGAAACATACCTATTTTGGCCAAGGAAGCCAACAAGATCCACAACGTAATCTCGAAGGGAACCTGGACATGCTGATAATCAAAGAAGTCTGCAGCATCCTTGGATTCATTTGTCCAGCTTGTCTCCGAGTTCATTTCACCCAGAGACTCCAGCACTGTAATGTTCTGGAAACTGGCAGTTCTTGGCATTGAGAAGAAAAAGAAGAAGAAGAAGAAGAAGAAAAACCCTCGAAGACAGAATCTGAGAGAAGCCATCTCACTTAGGACGAATCCCGTCTCCTTCCACCTGCTTGTCATCCTGTCTGTCTGAGGAAATTCAACATTGGCAGACTATCTCCTCACCCAGCTTAGATGTTTCTGCTTGCATGCTTCTCTGTAGGGCGTTCAAGTTGAATGTACCCTCTATTGTCCTCTGAATTACATAAATGGAGATGCAGCGCTGGACAGGGTGAAACAATGAGTTCCCTCAAGGCCAGAAACGTGCAATTCCCAATTAAAACTAGATTTGCAGTAGGCATCCTACGGTTAATTGAACTAAGGTTACTAATTGAACTCGTCAGAATATCAACCAGGATTGGAAGAGCATCGATGTCCTAAAACATGGGCGAGGTTCATGTCAGTGAGTCATAAATAAACCAACTCCATTTTGGCTTTATATATTGTGTAAACCGATTGTCTGAAGCCTGTCCAAGTGTTGCTTCTTTCTGAAGCATTTCTGAAGATTTTCAGTTACAGAGAGCATCGCTTATGATCTCTGATATGGAAATCCCAGGGGAGGGAGCCGAAATACATTCTGGGATTGAATGAATTCTCCTCAAAATCCCACTCCACTTCCTCCAAACAAGTTCCAATCATTTCAAATCTTTCATGTTCAAACTCTTGTTTAGGAAATGTCACATCTGCTGGTCAAATTCAAGAGTTCCAGTTCTTCCTGGAGTCAGACAGGAGAAGATGGCATAGTTAACATCTCTGACATGTCACGGAAGGTACCAGATTTTCCATTTCTGTTGCCTTTTTACTGGCAGGGGTGGACCACTTTCTGTTTTGTGAACCACAACTGCACAACTTTCTTTCACTGTCCTATACATTTCAGGAAGCTAGCATTTGCTACTTTCTGATAGATAGGAACATACCCTATCTAGGGACGATTCTGAACTTATACACCCATGTTCTTCTGCACCATCAGAAAGCAACTAGGGCGTGCAACTAAGCAGAAGTAGACTTCCCAATGTCAGTCAGTCACCAGATCTAACCCTCTTACTCTCCATAACCAGAGATTTGCTAGCAGCTGCAGCTCAAAAATCATCCCAGTATTTTGGATCACGCACCGGGTTGTAGCCCCAAAATAGAGTGTCCTCAGATCACTCTGCTCCCCCTTTTTTTCCCGACATTGGATGGCCCAATAACAGCATGGCTCAGAGGAAAGGGACTTAATCAGTGGTGGGATTCAGCCAGTTCGCACCACTTTGGCAGAACCGGTAGCTAATTTTTTGTTGCCCAGGCCCAGAATGGACTTCCGTAAGCGGCATCCACACAGAGAACTGGTCGTTCACATATTTGAATCTCACCACTGGACTTAATCCTCTTGACATCTATTCAAGCATCTCTGTGGTGCATAAATATCAGCTTATAAAACATAGAGGAAACAGCCTGTCTATTTTCATCCTGGATTAAGGATTGTTTAAGTGAACTCTGACTCAGGGCTTAATGCTACACTGTGTTTTAGCAAACTACAATTGGCTGTCTTTGAACAACACTTGAAGCCAAAATATAACTATGACTCATCAGTGTTGAAAAGCTGGACGTTGTCATTTTAGAAAGTAGGAATCACATTCCTAAAAATGAGCTGATGCATTAATATTCACTTCCAGGGGTCTCAAACTCTAATTGGGATCAGGGATTCTGAGCTAGCTCACTAATGATAGGGACCCACCACCATCTCATGGCATGTCCTATATCATACCTTTTAGAGGTTTTTTTTAAAAATAAATAAATTTTGATTTTGTTCACCTCTTAGAAGATTGATTTATCTGCCCTCCCCTGAAAGGAAGGAAGGATGAAACCTATATCCATGTCATCAATCTGTATGACTAAGAATGTTGTATTATAGAAATCCTTCTTTCAGAATAGAATAGAATAGAAGAGAAGAGAAGAGAAGAGAAGAGAAAAAGAGAAGCGAAGCGAAGCGAAGAGAAGCGAAGAGAAGAGAAGAGTTGGAAGGGACCTTGGGGGTCTTCTAGTCCAACCCCCTGCTCAGGCAGGAAACCATATATCATTTCAGACAAATGTTTGTCCAATCTCTTCTTAAAAACTTCCAGTGTTGGAGCACTCACAACTTCTGGATGCAAGTTGTTCCAAAGAAAGTTTCTTTCTTTCTTTCTTTCTTTCTTTCTTTCTTTCTTTCTTTCTTTCTTTCTTTCTTCTTTCTTTCTTTTTCTTTCTTTCTTTTTCTTTCTTTTTCTTTCTTTTTCTTTCTTTTCTTTTCTTTTCTTTCTTTCTTTCTTTTCTTCTTACTTCACCCTTTTACTATCAATAACACACACATCTGGTGAGAGGCCTCTTTCTCATACACATCAGGTTTATAGGGAGATACCAGATTAGGTTCTTTCTGAAAGACAGATGAAAGAAGTAAGACCAGCCACACCATTAGCCTAATGCAGAGAGGTGGGATTAAAAAAAAAAGTGCAGACAGAGAGAGCTTCTGAAAGAGTTTCAGACCTCTCGCCCTCACTGCTTTCTCGCTACAAAATGCTTTTGTTAAACAAAGGCATTTCAGATGAATATAACTGATGCTGAAATCCAAGAATCAATATTTATCTCCTCTAGCGATGCATTTTCATCCTGATCCTTGTTAAATCAATGACATTACATGCATATAACAAGAGAGAGAAAGACACAGTGAGAAAGGTTGTGTAATGTTCTTTAGAAAGAAAGACAGAAAGAAAGAAAGAAAGAAAGAAAGAAAGAAAGAAAGAAAGAAAGAAAGAAAGAAGGAAGGAAGGAAGGAAGGAAGGAAGGAAGGAAGGAAGGAAGGAAGAAAGAAAGAAAGAAAGAAAGAAAGAAAGAAAGAAAGAAAGAAAGAAAGAAAGAAAGAAAGAAAGAAAGAAAGAATAGCCATTTGGTCCATGAGAGACACCAACAACATAGAGCAGAAATGCTGTAAACAAACAAGGAATGCTGTAAACAAACAAGGAATGCTGTAAACAAACAAGGAATGCTGTAAACAAACAAGGAATGCTTTAAACAGCAGCCTGACATAAACTGTCATTTAAAAAAAAAAGTATTTCCTCTGAGCGGCTTCTGTTTGCTTATTGACCAATATAGTGAAAGGGAAATCACCCTCACCAAAGCTTTTGCAGAAATTGACATGTATACATGTAATACAAACCTGCAAATATAAGTAATAATCAACCGGGCTTAATTTTTTTTTTTTTCTTCCTCCCGTTTCGTGCAGATTTTCGCAGTGTGCCCTCCAGATTGCAAGTTCCAAACTTTCAGGAGAAATACAGTGAGCTGAAGAAAAATCCGTGAAAACAAAGCCAATGACTGTGATGAAGAGCAAGGAACCGGCGAGTAGACGGGTCCCTTGGAATCTCTCCACTTAAGGAGAGGACAGGAGATTTGCCCCCGTGTGCTCTGGACAACTGCTCCTCACAGAACGACTGCAAGACGGCAGTCTTCTGTGGGTTTGAACACTAAGTTCCCAAATCTCTCTTTCTAATCACTTTCATAAACTGCCCATTAATTATGTCAAAGTTGTTAGAGACCTACAGAATGACAAGTTCGAAAACACTTTATCGGGTTAATTTATATTCCACTCTGGAGCACGGTGACTAGCGTGTTTAGGACCCTGGGTAGGAGGTTAGCAAGTCCACGTTCGAGATCCGAGTGTTTATTCATTCATTTATTTATTATTTATTTATTAAATTTATTAAATTTATATACCGCCCTATCTCCCTTACGGCACTCAGGGTGGCGAACAGGCGATACTAAAAACCACAATAATAAATAAATAATTTCTATGCTAAAATCAAATTAAATGACAGGCCTGTTCTAAAAACACACCCATACAAAACCCCCACTAAAACATAATCAAACTTAATCAAACTACGCCAGGCCGGCCGCACGGAATAGATGGGCCTTCAGGGCTCGGCGAAAAAGGCGCAGGTCCGCAACTGTACGTAGGTCGGGGGGTAGGTCATTCCAGAGGGCAGGAGCTGCCACAGAGAAGGGTCTCCCCCTGGGGGTCGCCAGCTGGCATTGTCTGGCCGACGGCACTCTAAGGAGGCCCTCTCTGTAGGAGCGGACTGGTCGAAGGGAGGTGTTTGCTGTGGGGAGGGGTTGAGCTCCTGTCCTTCACTGTAGCTCCTGCTGGGGACATGAAAGGAACCCCCAACTGGGCATCCCCAGGGCAACGGCGATGTCATCAGCTGATCCTTTCAACCCGGAAGCGCTTCCGTGCTTCTGACATGGGTGCTATGCTATGTTCAACTCTGAACAAAAGAAAAATAAATTTAAGCCTAAGAACTTAACAAATTTTGAAATAAGCTCACATACACACACTCACAAACACGCAGTAGATAATCTTTATTTAAAAAATTAATAAGGAAAGCTAGAAACTAAAGCAAACTGATGTAAAGTAAGAAAATGGAGGAGCATTAAGTATGTTCCCAGTTATTTATAAAAATAATGAAGTGGGATGTAAAATAAATACAAATAAATATTTTGAGTACACTTCATCATATCATAGTCGTTATAGTTCAAATAAATACAGAAAAGCAAGGGGGGGGTTAAAAAAAAGGATGATGATATATCCCAAAACTAGTGATGCATACTAGATTTGGGGAAAATAGGAAAAAGAAGTCTATTTTAAAGAATAACTCAAACGCCATTATCTTTCCCTTAAAGCTCTTTTCTCTTCATTTGCTCACTGATGCCATAACTGAACTAAGGACGCTTTCAGATGCCTTAAATTCCAAACTCCCATCTTCCCCAGCCTGCCCAATGGATCAGCAGATCCCTTGACCCAACAGACCTTGTGAGACCCTTACCAAGGCTGCCTCGTTATCGCCCGATATTTTACATACCCTGCATAAAATGCAAACATGCTATACCGCTCGATGTAATTTTAACCA